GCAAAAACACTGTAAACACCAGTGTTTTTGGCTAGTTCCCACATGCCTTGATGACTCCATTGATAGGACAAGGAGAACAGGAAGAAACGCAAGTGTGGATCATGGGCGGGGGGGGTGACCATATATATATATGTATATACATACACGTAGAGATGTAGGAAACGTAGCGCTACGATATGGTGATAGACGGCTTGCAGGATTTCCTCAGTAGGGATTGTGAGGTCGGAATTCGTTCCTACATCCATGGAGTAGATGGTTGTTGGCATGCTGCTTCCATGAACCCCGTTTGAGCGTGGACATGGAAACCATCATGCAACATGAGCCTCTGGCAGAGGCTTATGGACGCGCTTGGCGTCTCCGGCGAAGGCAGGGTTTGCACTGCTGTTTTATGAGAAAGCTGCCGAAGAGCCTTGGCAGGTTGCCTTGAGAGAGCGGATCTGTTGCGTCACTTGGAGGGTGCCCCAGATGTGGAGGTTACACCAGAGGTTTCAGCAGCCATGGCAGAGAAGCAGCATCGGTACGACCTGCGAGATCTTGAGAAGCTGGAACTCCCACTGCTTCGGAATCTCATGGAGCGCCATCGCGTTCCTTTTGATTTGGAGGAAGAGCTCTCTGAGGAGGACGAGCGAAGAGTCGCCCTCTGCTCTTTTGCCGATTCGGGTTGGATGCGTAAAGCTTCCAAGACGCCCTCGATGCCTTCGAGTTCGAGGAGCGAGTTTAAGAGGGAGCAGGAGCCCAAGGAGGTCGCGAAACCCAAGGACAAGGAGCCAGAGGAACTGAAGGAATCTGCAGAATCCAAGGAAGCCTCGGCTTCTGCTGCAATGAGGAGCCCCACGAGGTCTCAGACTGAGGAGGGGAGAGACCAGTCTGCTGCCTGCGAAGCCTCTGAAGCTCGCAGCCGCCCTGACACGGGCGCCGAGCGGGCGGAAACTGAAGAGTCGCAGCCAAACTCCACCGGCCGAGGCGGGGCGGTCTTTGCTTCGGCTTTCAGCCAAACGCTTCTTTTGGCGGGCACCGCAAAAGCATATTGTTTGGATGTGTTCAGGCAAGGCCAGCCGGCCCAGTGGCCCGCCGCCAGCGAGGCGCCGGCCCCGGCCCGGGGCGTCTGCGGATACCGGCCCGGGCCCCTCAAACGATTTGGTCTGAGCTCTCCATGGGCACTTAGCTCGTTTCAAGTGTGCTTGTTCCTTAGACTTCCCTGCAGAAGCGGCTTGTGAGCAGAGCAGGCTTTGCTCTCTCGGCCGTGACCGTTACAGCGCCATAGCAGCGCCAGTGTCAATTGCAATCCCAGCGTCCAGTCATGCTTAAGGCTGAGGGATCCGTTCCTGACTGGAAATTTTCTGCTGGAAAAAGGCTTCTTCTTGTGTAGGTGGTTGTGCGGTTTGCTTGGCTTTGGGAGCTCTGTCCAAGCCACCAAACAAGGAAGCTCCAAAAGCGTGGCGTGCTGTTGCCGGGGCTACCAGACCTGGCGGGGTTTGCAACGAGACATGTTCTGTTTTTTTCGTCTGCGGATAGCTTTGTCTTCACCAGGCGGTCGCTGGAGGGCTGTCCACCGCATCCCGCCTGCTAGCAGACAGGTCATCCAGAGGCAAGAACGGTCGAGGATCGGGCCCGTAGCGTGTGAGCACTTCCATGCGCTTTGAAGGCGAGGTCCTGACGCCTGGAGAACTGGTGGAGCTGGCCGAAGACGCGCTTTCGCGGGCAAGGCGTCTGCCGACCCAGGCTTGCCAGGTTTTCCGGTGGGGCTCCCTGTTCACGGCTTCGTTTCCTACAGGATGTGCTTGCCACCCTGGCAGCGCTGGAGCACCAGAATGCCGACGACCCCAGCCTGGTCTCTGCCGGGACCCTTTCTTTTGGCCTCCAGCTTCGATGATTTTCAGAAACAGACACAGGCGCTGGCGGAGCGCATCGTGGTCCTTGCTGCTGTGGGGTGCTTGGCATGAGCGCTTATGAACTGTTTCTCTTCATTGATGTGCTCAAAGTGGCGTAACAGCATTTGCAAGTGAACACTCACGCACTGCTAGGAGCAAGCACTGTACCCTATGCAAGAGGCATGCAGAAGACAGCCAGAAATTGAGTCTTCAAGCATAAAGCTTTGGCATCCAATGCTGCAGGCACAGAGGGCAGATACTGCCGGTACCTTTTCAGTCAGCTAGTGGCGTCGCTTCCTTTCCCAAGGCCATGCCTCTGGAAGATGCTCTGGAAGCGCTTGCCTTGCTGAGTTGGGCCCTCGATTAAGTTCATCTTTTCATGGCCAGACGATCCCTGCAGTGTTGACAAACTTGAGGAAGTCAACCACAGAAAGCAGTGAGGAGCCAGCAGTCATCGTGAGAAAGTCTACGCTGAAGCGATGTGCAAGAGGCGCCAAACGGGGGCCATCCACGAGATTGAGCTGCGCTTGGTACAATGCATCCTGACTGCATTGGCAACCTCCTCTCGGCCTTGCATTGCTTTGTTTGGCAGGCGCCCAGGAACCGCGTGGCCTTGTTCGCGTCCTGGCAGCCCTGAGCCGCCTCAGCCGGGCGAGCCCGCTGCCACCGTGGCTGCTGGCATCACTTACGAGCATGGCCCCAGAGCTCCGAGGTGCGAGCCTCAGGGGCCTCAGGACAACCTTGACTCACATAGCTTCGAAAAGGAATCCAGCCAAGACCTGGCAAGGCCTCAGCTACCATGAGCTGGTGTCTGTCGTGCCTCAACTGCCATGGGGCATCCCATTCAAAATGCCCTCCACACAAGAGCTGCTGCTGCGAGGAGCTGGGCTTCGAAGCACTGGGTTCCTCGGCCACGCTCTCGGAGCTTCTTCGGCCGCAACCTCAAAACCTCGAAGCCTCCAAGCCTGGCGTAGAGAGCCGTTCTAGGCAGCAGCGTGGACTCTTCCTTCAAGAGGCCGATTCAAGGGACAGCCATGATGTCAGAAGATGCTCTCACATTAGAAGGTGTTTGCCGCTTCAACGCTTTGCAACGCGGGCGGGCTTGTGTAAACATATGTAAACAGAAACCTGTCTGTTCGTGATTCCATAGCTTCAACTCATCTCGTGGGAGGCTCCCCTGCGAACACTGACCGGCGCTCAGTGGATGTGGGGATCAGAAGAACATAGAAATTGCCATGGGTGTGCACACACTTTAGCTGAGTGCCAGCCTCGATCAACTTAGATTGTGTGACACTGTTACATTATGATCATGCTTTCCAATAGCGCGTTTTCAAGGTAACATATTTGCTCTGAGGCCGGTTTCTTGGGTTGAGGGCGGTTCTGGTGCCGAAACAACCATGGCCAGTAGAGTCTTGCCAGCAGCCCATTCAGGGCGTTTTTGACATTATTGAGGCCAGACGGGTTTGGAAGTTTACCGGAATGCTGGCATATACACCGTAGTTGTGGCACGAGGGTGTGTCGTGCATTGCATATGAAGTACCGAGCCAGAGTACTGAGGGGTCTTCTGAGGCTGCGGGAGCTGGAAGCATCTTCACAGGCTTGGAACGTTGCTGGAGATGTCATGCTTTGGCTTTGGCACTTCCCTTTGGCAAAGGTCCTCAAACCCGCACAGGACAGTGTGGTCACAGAGCTCTCAGCTTGCACTGCCAGGCTTTGCCCGCATGGCTTCTGAGGAGCCAACTGGCTGAGGCCGCAGGAAGCTCAGAGCTGAAGCGAGCCTTCCGAGCTGCGGCGATCCTGCGTCCAGGCCTTGCTGGACAGCTTCGTGCAGCGCTTGGAGGCGTGGAAAGAATGCGTTGAAAGCAAATGAAAACTGCTCTTTGCTCGAGTCGCTCGAGGCGCTGGGTGATCGCAGCGCCGGGGAGTTTCAAGACCCTTTCCTCTGCAGCTTGCTCAGCTCCCTCTCAAGTAGAGATATTGTAATCAAAGAGCGACTGCCAGCTGCTGAGGCTTTGAGCTCCTCCATGCAGAAGGACCACTGAGAGTCGTTGCACTCTGCTTGGGTACAGTGTCTTGATATCCCTGAGGACGACTGCCGAGTGGCTTCCTTCTGTCGTTAGCAGCCGGGCTCTCTCGGTGTACATTCAACGGTGTATGACTTTGCGTTGTGCAGGAGACGGAGCCACCCAGATTCAACAACCTCATGAGAAGCAACTGTAGCAAGAAAGGAGAGCTCCCAGCCAAGAGCGAGATGATGAACGTTTCTAAGATTGTCTAAACGATTTCTGTATTATTCTTCCTATTCTGCTTTGCACCCCCCCGTCACGGGTCACCCGAACACGTTCGCGCGTATGTTTCGTGAAGCGAGTGGCTCCAGGCCTGGGCCCGGCGCTGCCTGCGCCGTGGCTCTCGGGAGGTTCGCCGAATTAAATTCTGTGTTGGCAGACTAGCCGAAGGGCTGACGTGGGATCGGAAGCGGAATCCACATCTCCTCTTACAAGCCCTCTGCAGGCAGGTTGTGAGCCAGGAGCCCTCGTAATCAAAGCCGTTTCCGCGATACCGTGCATGCTTTTGCAACATAGGCTAGCGCAAACTAGGCTGCTCGTGTTCACATTCCCAGCATCAGGCTTCAGCTCGAATTACGGCCCAGCGGCTGTGTGCTCTGGACGATGCCTTTATGGCCCGTGGTATGACGCTTGGTAAAGGTTGATTTCTGCTTTGATTTCGCAGTTCGGTACCAGCACAGTCGCCTGAGATCCTTCCTCTGAAAGGATTGGCTCCCGGGAGACTCTGGATGCAGCCATTCGGGCCTTCGTGGTCTTTGGCCCGCCAGTGGAAAAAGAAGTTCGGGATGCAAAGACACGTGCAGGCCTCAACATTGATAACCGTTTCCTGAAATTGAGAGGTAGCAAAGGAGGCCGCTGAAGAAGCTCAGCGACAAGCTGAAGAGAGAGCTGTTAGAGAGGCAGAAGCTGCTCTTGTGCACACTCATCCCCGTTAAGCTCTTCCAGCATCCTTTCAAAGCATGGAATACTACAGCATCCAGCTGTTGATCACAGAGCATATGACAGACGGCTTTCCATCACGTAGCATTCTGATCCTTGTTTCTCTTTGCTGCCAAGACTGAAGCAGCATGGCATTTACATGTGCTACCGACAGCTGTTCCCAGACAAGCACATCACGATGACTTGCAAACTCAATGCACATGACCCATCCTATTTGATGCTAGTTTCCTTTCGGAAGGCAGGGGGGAATCCCCAAACAGTCGTTTCTGTGGAGGAGAAAGAGCGAGTTGAGCGCGAGGAGATGCTCGCAAGAGCCAGAGAGGCTCACAAGGAGCAGCGCGAGAAGGAAGAGGAGACCGGATGTTTACTCTCCTGCAAATGAAACGTTCGAGGTCTTGGGCGAAGTCTTGCCTGAAGACCTTTATCTTACAACCCCATCACCACCCTCATTGAAGGGCTTGCTTCATGAGCGTTCCAGGATTACCGCCAAGAAAGGAGATGATACCTGATAGACTCCATTTTAATGTAGCACAGAGTTCAATTGATTTCGCCTATCATGAGTAGGAATTGTGATCGAGCACGTGCTGGCCAGACTCAGATCTAAGATTCTTAATGTCTTTTATTTTCATCAAGGTTTCTTTTCGTTTGTAAAGGACTTTGCTAGTTTTCTGTAGATTTCTAGGGCTTCTGCGAAATTTGTGGAGTACCAGTAAGAGCTTGCGGGGTTTGTGTCGCTTCCATTTCAGGGCTGAGGCCTGGGTGAGCGTTTCAGAGAGGCAGCAGGACAAGCAACATGAATGCCACTCTCGGTGTGGACTCGTTTTGGTTTGTGTTATTCAGGATCCAGTAGGATCGTCTTAGTTTTGCTTCGCATCCTTGCTTTTGGCTGATCTGCTTTGGGAATCCAAAGCACTTTTCGGGAGAGTTGAGGAATTTTATGGAAGGGACTTCGGTGTGACTTCAGGAGTTCCGAAAGGCCATCAACAGCGATCCGCCGGAGCTGAGAAAGGCTGCGGAGGACATCATGGAGGCCTGACGCAGGGAGACGCAGTCGCCAGCTCTCTCTTGTTGGTTCTTCCCTTTCTGCCTTTGCGCACACTGCGCAGGCAGACTATGGTACCGAGATCAAGGTCCAAGGCCGCAAGCGCTTCAGAGCGAGAAGGGCAGCAGGCCATGCCGGCCTTGACATGCACCTGCAACCCGAGGTCGTGGCTTGCCACTCCGATTGCTAACGCGACGCAAGGAGGTGGCCTGGATCTGGGCTGGAGAGGCCCTTTTGCAAGCGATGCCAAGCAGTAAAGCAGGCTTTTCTCATGCGCCTGATGACGTCTGTGCAGGTGCAGGAGCTGATTGGCGGGGGTGCGCCAGATGACACTTTCACTCAGTAGAATGCCCTTTGCCCGCCATCATATCCAAACCTTCACAAGGGAGGCCCGCGTCACTAGATTTAGGCGGGGCTGCCACAGGCACCTGCTGCCATCCTTATTTGAAAAAACGGCGACTGCTCCTGTGCTGCTTGCGACAATAGTCTTGTATTGCGCTTGCGGAGTGACTGCAGCTCGTCGGGCGAAGGGCGAAGATTCAAGGAGCCTTGAAGCTGAATAAGCAATCAACAACCTGACCAGACATCAGGACAACAGACAGAATCACAGGAAAGGCACTTAAAGCAGTTGCCGTGCCATGGCATTCTGCAGGGCAGCTCCGTTGACACCTGTTGGATCAGTATGCCAAATCCATCAAGTGCGGCCTCGATGGGGTGCCAGTGCCGATCATGCAGTTCCCCATGTACACGATACCTCTCGCAACGTTGCTTGAGATGACCAAGATAGAGCCTCACGAAGTGTTGATGGAGAAAGGGTTGTTGGCTGAGTTCCGGAAGAGCATTGGAAAGGCAGTTTTTGTTTCGCACCAGTGGGTTGAGACTGACCACCCTGACCCGGATTGCCAGCAACTTCGAATCTTGCAAGGAGCTTTCAAAAAACTGCTTGCGGGACACTGGCAAACGATACCAGTGGATTTGGTCAGTGAAGGTATGAACCACAGTAAGCCTTTACCGACATCGGAGCTTTTGGCAGAGCCGTTGTTTCTCTGGTACGATTACTTCTCTTGCCCTCAATCAACACGCTGTTCCAGCTGCGAACTGCAGCATTGCCCTCAATCAACACGCAGTTCCAGCTGCGAACTGCAGCATGCCATCAGCAGTATAGCAGCATATGTGGATGCGTGCGACTTCTTCTTTGCTTTGGTGCCACTTTTGGAAAATCAAAGCAGGACCCGCATGATTTCTCCGATGACTTGGGGCCAGCGCGGGTGGTGCCGCTTAGAGAGAACATGCCGGGAGCTTTCGCAACAGCCTTCTTGGATAGTTGTGAAAGGAACCTCGGACCTGACAGTGATCTCAAGTGTGACCGCATCCACGTATGCTGGCTCCGGGCCGGTGGGAGAGGGTCAATTTTCTGTGGAAGAAGACCGAGAAAAAGTAGCAGGAGTTCTGCTGACGGCGCTGAAGCGCAAATTGCTGGCGCTCCTGAAAGCTCAAGATCTTTCCGCGTACCGCGCTTTGCTGAACCAGCAGCCCATGCTTCTCAGAGGCTTGAAATGTGATTCGTTGCAGCCAGTCCCTGGCTTTGAGGACAGTGGCGACTTTGCCATGCATTTTTTTTCACCATAATGGTTTCCGCAGCATTCGAGACACTGATAATCATGGGTGGATGCCCTTGCATTATGCCGCGCTCAATGGAGATCCTTTGCTGGTTCGAGAGCTCCTCGGGCTTCAAGCAGATCTCAACCAAGGCACAAAGAAAGCCCATCCAGCTCTAGGGATGGAAGCTGCTGTGTCGCCTCTCAGCATTTCTTGCCTTTTCGGGCACAATGATGTCGTGCAGCTCTTGATATCCAGCATGGCCAAGTTAACCAGCAACGCTTTGCTGAACCGACCGCTGCACTCTGCAGCTGCTGGGAACAACGCAGATGCCGTCCGAATGCTTTGTCAGGCTAGCTGCCCAATTGAATACAACGCCTTTGGCCAGAGTGTTCTACAGGTGGCTGCTTATGTTGGAGCATATGGGGCCATTAATGAGCTCCTCAGACATCCAAGTCCCACCCTGGATGCTTCTGAAGCTCTCTACAACACAGCGTTCGGTGGCGCAGATACTGAAGTGGTGCTCCAGTTGGTTGAGAAACGGGCAGATGTGAATTCACAATCAGCAATACATGAAGCGTAGCCCGCTCATGCGAGCTGCATACCTGCTGATGCGTTTACAGTATCGCTTTCACAAAGTCACCCCCTTTTCCAAGGCATTGTACAATCTCAAAGGCGCCACGCCTTTGATGATCGCCTTGCAGACCTGCAACTATGAATGTGCTTCGGCTCTCATAGCTGCAGGGGCACGGCTTGATCTACGGAACTGGCGAGGATATACAGCTGCAGACTTTGCAGAGGGCCATTCGCTGCCATCATTCCTGCAAGAGGCTTTTGAAGGAAGAGTGGAAGCATGCCGGAGGGTGGCATTGCTGGCACGCGGTTGGATCGAGATGGCTTTTTGAAGCGGCTTGGAGTGAGCAGCTTTCTCAGGCGTACGAAAGATTTTCAAATCAAAAGGACTTCCATCTTGCTCAACATTGTCAAAGTCAGAGTTTCAGAGTTTCACACAGAATTTTCAATGTGTTCTTTGAGGCTCGGAGCTAGTTGTACGCCTACCTTGGTGTCATTGCATTTTGGGTCCTAGGCATTCAGCCCGTCCTGCCTCGATTCTGGTCTGTCGTCGAGGGATGGACATGTCCGTGTGACCGCTGTTATCCAAATCTTTAGCTGGCGAGTCTCGAGGCCAAAAGTTTATCGGTTGTCGTTCTTGGGGTTGGGGCCCTTCTGGGCCAGTTCCTCGAACGAGGCTGCCCTGTGTCTCCGCACCAGTATTTCGACATTTTCTTCATTGCTTTTCCAGCTTCATAAGAAGGATGGCATTGGTGTAGTGGACATCATATTTTGGCTGACGCACTTGTGCCAGCGTGCACACAAAGCAGCGTGGGTTGCTCCTTTGCCTGCTGACTGGCTGACGAGTGGTTTCCGTTGCCATGTCACAACAACGTGGCACATGCGAATAAGTAGGAATGATATCAAGCGTTGGTTTGTATGCACGCACAGTGGATTGTCCGGAGAAGCAACCAACCTGTCACCAAGCTCTCAAGATGCATGTGTCTCTAGGCAAAATGGCGGCAAATGGAGTGCCCTGGTGATGGGGCCCTGGCTCCCTAAAACAACGGCCAACAATTGTGGTTTGCCCGCGCCCACGGCCACAGACTATGTTAGGAAGCTCAAATCCCTGCGCCCTGCCATTGTTTTGTACATCTACATGGCTAGATATAGC